GGTAATGAGGGAGGGGAAAAAGCCTTTTCTGCAGTAAGTGCCCTGTCTGACAGTTTTCTCTGGAGCATGAGGATGACAAAGCATTCAGTGAGCCTCCAAAGAGAAATCAGAGCTGGACCCTAAGAAGACAAACTGTAGTGCATAACAATTTTAATTTTTCAGTGTGCCTAAGATTGAAGTGATGCTCCTGGGACTTGCACTGCATTTAGACAATTCAGCCTGGGATACCTGACAGTTCTGTGCTTTACTCAGATTTCCAAGAGATCCTGGGAGGTTTTCTTCATGCAGCATATCCTTTATAATGCTGAGAATGATCTGACTTTAAAAGCAGCAAGGAGAAAGGAGCCAATACTCCCAGCATCTACAGTTGTGGGGCTGTTGTTACAGTGTAAGCTGCACCATTTCAAAAACACATAACTTCTTCCAGTGGACAAGGACTGAAAGTCAGCAAAACAGTGCTGCGCATGGAGAGTAAGATTCGTGTTGTTGTAACTCTGTTATTAAAGTGCCAAATGGATTAGAAGCTTTAAAAACTTTACATTTCTGTTCTTTTTGGCATCGTCTCCTTGGAACCGGCGCATCTCCATAGCAAAGCTTAGGAAGGGAAGTGGTACTTGAATGGGTAGTCCCAGACTGGTGTCTTTTAATTTCGCTTGCAATCAAGTGATGAAGAGGGAGAGGCAGATGCTGCAGCTGCATGATTACACAAAGTGCAGCTGTTAAGACACTTGCTTTTTTTCCTGCTAATGAGGCATCATCTCTCTTCAGACTTTGCTGTTTGGGTAGTGCTTTTACTACAGCACAAAATTAGACCAGTGCATTTTGAATTTTTGAATTTCTTCAGTCTGGTGTGGTCTACAGTTCTCATATAATTCTTTCAAACTAGTCCAGTTTGAGGAAGGGGATAGCAACTTCATCTGTGAGAATGCTCAGTGGGTTTGGGATGCAGAGGACTAGGCCAAGCTGCTTTGTCAAACTTGTTTCACTTCTAAAGTAAACTATTAGTGTCTCCCCACCTCCAATCCAGTTCCTTTGCTGCACGCAGGGGATGGGTGGTTCTGCTGTAAGTATTTTCACTTTCAGTTCTTCTGATTATGTTGTGATTTCTTTGAGGCTTTTGGGTATAGTTAGTTTTTCCTCCTTGCTTTGTGAAGCCCTGCGCAGGTGGCATAGGGTGAAGTGCCCTGACACTTCCTTCCCAGCTGAAAGGAATGCGGCACTCCCTGTGAATAGCTGGTCTTGGTAAGCTCTGCGTGGCTCTGATTTCTAAAGAATCATACACTGTCAGATATTTAAGTTTCAAGCAGCATTCGGAAGCTCTGCTTGTGTGTTATGCTGGGGAAAGAGAAGGGGTTAATGGATCCCAGGTAAGGAGAGCAATCTGGTAAGACTTGGTGCCTGTTTCTGGATGCATGCTCATAATGTGAATAAATTGCTGCTTTAGCTGTTTGTTGTCTTGGTGCCTGTGTCTGTATACAGTCTCCAAAACTTGTAGTGGCATCTCTGCAGCACTCTGTAGCAGAAGGCTCAGAGTAGCTCTTTCTGCACCTGTGTATGAACACAGAGAACTGAGAAATACAGCAGATTCTCAGGGCTGAGAGTACTTTCAGGAAAAGGTTGAGAGTCTTTATCTGTAAGAGATGTTAAGGATCAGATCTAACATCTAAAATGTTGCTAGTTGGCTTCTGGGGGTTATGAAGTCAGTTGTTGGAATCTTCTCCCTCACCCCTAGCCAGTCTCGTTATAAATTCACATACTGCTTTGAAATAGCAGGAGTAATTATAGTTGCTAAACCTGATTGTTCCCACCTCTACTAGTGAGTTGTATCAGAAAAGGGAGAGAAACACTTCAGTTTCAACTGGGTTGGGGCAGTTGTTTAATTGCAGCAATATCATGGCAAACTTCCCTTTGTAGAAACTGAACCTTTCAGCCATGCTTTGTAAGTGACCACTTGCAGGCTTAAAATCAGTTTATTTCTACTACCAATTCTGAGATACTGCAGAGTAAAGGAGGTGTGTTTTGAGTGCTTTTGAAAACAAAGAGAATTCACCTCACTTCTAATTTGAGGTTTTCAGTGGGGTTTGATGTGGAAAAACAACCTTCTCTTGGTTTCCAAACTGAACACTTGAGTAGGTCAGGAAGAAACATGGATGATTTTCTTTCTTTATCCAAGGATCTTGTGGAAGTTTTTGAGGGAACAAAGCAGAACTCAGTTTTACTTAACTTTGATTGCGTTTCGGTAGCTTTTGTATAGAGCTGCATTTCAGAGGGTTTACAATCATGGGGAAGCTGTTTTCTTTGCTGGCACTTAAAGGATTTGCATGGCTATCCAAAACATATGGGGTTTGCTTATTTTGTCTTTGCACAAATTTTCAGATATTTAGTTCTTCCTTTGCAGACAAGTGCTTTATAGTGTTCAAGCAGCTGAGCTCTGAGTAGAAGGGGAGAACTTGAAGACCAGGCGACAAGGATATCTGTGCAGACATATCCTTCTTTTACTGACAAGTAATTAATAAAAGCCTGTGATTGCTTGATTAGTCTCGTGTCAAAGAGCTCATGCAACTGAGACTCTCTGAAATGTACTGTGTTGAATCTTGGTGCTTTTCCCACTTCAGTGTGATTTTTGACTATCTCTACTGTCATCTTTGTGAGTTCAACTCGAGTGTTTCTCTCCACGTTCCCAGTTGCAATTGTCAGTGATGAAAGCTGTTGTGGAGTATTACCTGTAAATATGCCACAGTGCGCAAGACGATGCTACCTGTGCTGCACCAGGATGCAGATCTTGCTTCTGGGCTTTGCGGAGAGAGGTGGTTTTATGGCAGTGGGAGGAAATGTATGTATTAAAAATCTGTTTTCACGTGGAGTACTGTAACAGAAAGCATTTCTATGCTTACGTTCCAGGAAAGATACTTAAATTAAGCTATTGTTTGTCTTGACCCTCTCCATGGGGTCAAACAGGGAAGACTACCGCTCTTGCTGTTAATGATTCTCCCCTTCATTGTTGGAAAAATTCCCTTCCTTCAATCTGTCCCAGCCTTCTTTATATCTTTTGAGCAGGTCTGGTATGATCAAGGTCATGTCTAAAGTACTCAGTTTTTAATAGATCTCTTCCTCGTTCAAACACTGATGGAGTATAAAGCCCCAGCATGTGACAGATGAGTAGTGGTAGTCAGGAGATGACTGCTGCTCATAGAAGATTGGTGAGAGCTAAAGGAGACAGAGATAACTGATGCTGGTTTTTAAGTAAGTCATACTTGTTTCTTCTGGGTTTCTCCCATCTCTGCTAACCATTTCTGCTGGAGGCTCCATCTTTTGTTGGGAACAACAGAAAACAGGTTTAGAGGTGTAAAACGAACCACAGGCCTGTATGGAGATGTAATCTTTCCTAGGGCATGATTCTGTAGGATGCTTGGTCTACCACTTTCAAACCTTGGCTTGCACGCTTTAAATAGAAATTCTCTTGCTAACTCCAGAGGTTGTATGTGGTTAATGTGTCTGCTTCTCCAAGAATTACTCTGATTTTGGGGGAACTTGTCAGTCTGAATTGATAACCATCCTCCTAATTTCCAGAAGTGGCATTGGTTATTGGAAACAACATGGGTATATACATAAATGCTTGCTCACCATAGAGCACTGCAGTTTAGGCACAGGCTATAGAGTTATCCCATGTGTGATGGGGCATAAGTGTTCCATTACCCTGAGACACCTTGGAAAGAGTCTGATGTCTGCAAAATATTGTGCAAGCCACAGTAGCTTTCAATTCCTAGTTTTCCTTTAGTTAATGAATATATATAAGGACGTCAGTTAAAACACATTGGGTCTATTTCAAATAGATAATCTAATTATCAGCTTGATTAAACCATATCAAATGAACAGTTCTTGTAATTTGGTAGCTTTGTTCTCTTTGCTACAGATGCAGTAGCTTTAATTAGCAGCCTCAGAAGTAGCAGACCTGTGCTGATTGTGTCAGTTGAGATGTCTTGCAGCTGGATACTTGATGTGGGGGTAACCAGACTGCTCCTACATCGGTGTTAATCTGAAGGCTGGCATTTTGGTGCCGATAATGGGAATGTGACTGCTTCATAAATACCATTGCATGCAAGAAACAGCCCTTTTCTGCTGTTTCCTGTGCTCCGATACAGGCTTAATTGAATTGATTTCTGTATTAGTCAATTAGACTTTCTTTTTAAAATGTTTGTAGATATCGCCTGCTGTATCCCTTCTTGCCTTTAAACTCTTCTGTGAATACATGTTCTTTTGGACTGCAACATCACTTAATCCCTCAAATATTTGACACAAGCCTACCACAGGTCACTTGCTGAAGTTGAAATGCAAGAGTACAAAGGCACAGTAACTATTCTGCTAGAAAGAAACAAGGGGAAACGAAAAATCAGTATTAGCTTGCATAGCTCTGAAGCCAGCACCTGGCCGAACAAACTGCTGGGATGAAGCTATTCCTCTATTGTTGCTTACCAGCTGCTCAGAGCCCACTCAGCAGTAAGGTGCTGCTCTTGGAGTAGCCAGAAAGCCTAGGGCATGATGGAAGGTGGGCAACCAACCTCTGCTACTGATACCAGATAAAGGCACTTAGGGCTTGTCTGCCTTTCTTTGGTGCTTCCTCTCTGTGCAAACCTCTCCCAGCACAAAGAATCTTATCTCTTCATATTTCAGACGTTTGTGTCTGTTTTAAGGATGTCTTGACATACCATCTAAATGAAAAATCAGGAATGTTATGCAGCTAATTATTTTCCTTCTATAAATGTGTTTTGAAAGCATGTGATATTTGTTCAAGCTTCTCTGCCAAACATGATAATTTGAACAGTGTCCACAGATTTTGTAAAATGCAACTAAGAAAGAGACAACAGCAACAGGTAGACAGGTTCTAACCTGTGCAGGAATTTGCATGTATTTAATCTATAAATGTTGATAGGTCTGTTTAATAGATGAAGTTTACTTTTTATGTGAGTAGGTGGACTCTGTTTTTCTTCTAATTGTTTCAGGTGACAATGAAACCACCTGCCTGTAACAACGTGCAAGCAGTCAAATACCTGGGATTTATCTCTACTGTGTGCCCTGGACCAGGATTCAGATGATCTTTACTAGATATGAGTTTGTAGCATGTTCAAGGCAGTGTTGCTTTAGTAGGGAACTTACTTGAACTGGGAGCTGGGTAAAGCTGGCTCCTGTACTACCTCACCTTTAATTACTATCGTGTTCTGTAGCTTAATATTAACCCACATCTCACTGCATCCTGCCTCCTAATTGTCTTAACTGCCTGTCACCCAAAAAGGCTTGACTGTGTATAGCAACACGATTCCCCAAGTATTTCCTAATTGGCACTTGATGTGTTGTGAGGAGATGAGTCCCTCTTGTCTGTATTAATAGGTATGCTTTCTTCTCTTTGTTCTCAGGACTAGACATTGATCCTATGACGCATGCCCGGAAGAAACAACTTTTCCTTCTGAAACGTCCAGCTGGTTCTGCTGGCCAGGTTTCATCACCCACAGGCAACGGGAGGATGGACAGGACTCAGGCGGAGTGCAGCGAGCAAAAGGACAGGGATGCCACTGAGGTTGCCAGCAGTTTGAGTGGATTTGTGGGGACAAGCAAAAGCAAGAATTTGCAGGAAGTCCGAAAAACGTACCCGCTGCGGAAACGTCTGCTCCCTTCAGTGAACAAAAAGACCTGCAAAGTGCTTCTCACCAGGCTGGAGGATGTGGCTGGATCTCTGTCAAAAGAGACCCACAGCTGCAAAAAAAAGGAACTTCCCAGCTGGGTGGAAGAGTTGGGGTCCACCTTTTTTGCTGAACAAGTTAAGCCTGTGGGGGCGGGCAAGAGTGATTCAGCTGGGGAAAAGTGCACAGTAACTTATCCAGGGACAGAGGAAGACCTTGATGCTGCTCCTTCAGAGCCCAGGAAACGCAGACTGGCCTCTCTGAATGCGGAGGCTGTGAACAATCTGCTCTTTGAGCGGGACGATGGCTTGTTGTCTGGCAGGCGCTTTCGGAGGGACCCTGCCAAAGCCAGTGGAGACTGTACTGCCAAGAGCATGCATTGCAAGGCAGGTGACAGCTGGCCTGCCTTGGAAAAGACAGCTGTGAAAACAGGTAAAGGCAAAAATCGACATGAGGCCAGTCAGAAATACAATAGCTGTGACCATTCACTGGATGAGGTCTTTGATGACGGGTTAAGGAGAGAGGATAGTGCCATCTCCTATCATCCCACCCCAAAGAGACTGGCCAGCCTGAACGCTGTGGCTTTCTTGAAGCTGACCCATGAGAAAGACCAGCCCCTGAAGCAGAGGAGTAAGTCAGATGGAGAGGGCAAGTCTGAGAACCACTGCTCAAAGTCTACACTCAAATGGGCCAAAGCCAATAGGAAGAATTGTGTCAAGTCCAAAAAGGAAGCGGCCAGCTTAAAAATGGAAGGTCAGCACAGCTGGCGAGGGCTCACTCTGGGTGCTTTTGGGAAAGCAGAACAGCAGGACTCCTCTAGGCTCTACAGGACAGCCCAACCTGTCCCTTATGAATCGCAGTCTAGTATGGAGGGTTTCTACCATAGACTGCCTTTGCTCATGGGTGGGCAAGCTTCCATGAAGCCAGAATATGGAAGACCTGGAGAGAAATCCCCGACTCCAAAACAGGAATTTCATCAGCCTTCCTTTCCTGTGCAGCAGTTCCCCCCTTTGCCTGTTCCTGGGAATCACACAGATTGTGGCTGTCTCTATGAATCCTCAGATCTGGCTCCGTTGAACGGGTTTTATGTTTGTTATGGCCAAAGTGGATACCGTGGCTACTCTCACTGCTCAGTTTACCCCAAGGACGAACTTTCGCAGCCTGCTACCTGTGAAGGGCTCTTGGTATCGCCTGGTTCCTTGCCATCAGGCACTCATTTTCAGCCACTCCACTGGTGCAGCTCCCCATACTGCTGTGGAGAAGGAACAGCCATCAACAGCTACAGTGTCTGTGGTGTTGTACATGTGCCGGATGGCAGGATCAGCAGTGTGCACACAGGACGGAACAGCTACCCCTACAAAATGCCTTTTGCAGCAGGTAAGGTGCAAAGCACGAGGCTGTTTTCTTAGGAACACTGAGCAAGATGAGGGCTTCTCTGGGGCAGTGGTGATTATCTTGTGGCTTATCAAAGTTTGAGATCTCTGCCATGGATCAAAAAGAATCCTCCCTCTATTTTTAGCCCAGAGGGTTTCTCTCCATTGAAAGGTCCTGTTGGTGTGGAAGGTATGGAACTGCTGAAAGATTTGAGGCAGTGAGGAGATGACTCATGACTTGTTGCACTGGAACTAGATGCTTTGATCTGTGTAAAATGAGTGGTTTCAATTCCTAGATGCTCCGCACGGCTTCTCTCTATCCTGCTGCACCATGGTGTCATTCTGTTCCCAAAAGCTTGCTCTTGGTACTGAATCATCCCCGCAGAGCAGTGTGGGGAAGCAGGCAGTGCCTCCGTTGTTAAGACTCTTGATGTTGAAAGCTGTGTAGGGGATGCAGTCTTGTAAGGCTTTATAGATCTGACCTGGCAGGGCTGTGCAGTGATTCAGTTTGAGTCTGCTGGTTGAACTGATGCTTGAATTTCTTTGTAGTGAGTGGGGGCAAGCAATGGTGTAAGATGTAGGGTACTTGTTTGCCTGGCCTATTTCAGTCCTGTTTGTTTGGGTTTTATTTTCTAACTTTGTACATTGTCGGCACTCCGCCCTTGCTATTAAAATCCATCTTTTTGAAATATTTAAAGCTGAACTGCTGTGCTGTGGTTACCAGACACCAGTGCTTTGTGTAAAAGCCATCAAGCTAGGCGCTGCCGCTTGCTAGTGCTGCAGTCTGTAGTCAAAGCTGCTGCTTCAGCTGCTGGGAGTGTAAACATTGATGTCTCAGTTAACTACGTGCACGTGTTCAAGTCAAAGGAAGGCATGACTTAGCTACTCCAAACAGATTTTCAGGTAGGCGGATGGAGTTTTGGTTCAGCTCTCAGTTTAAGTAAGGCTTTGTCATCTTCCGTTGTAGGAGACTACTGAAACATGGGAGCATTTGGTTGAGGTATAATTTCTGTATTCCTGAAATATCTTTGCTGTCATGGTGCTGCTTCCTACAGCAGGAGTTAGGCAGTGTTAGTGTCTTTTAAAGCTTGCAAGACAACAAGTTCAGCAGTGTGTTCTTGTCTGACACTTTTCTGCATAGTTCCCCGAGATCATGTCAGAATACTTAGTTCCTGAAACTTTTCACGCCACTGCCTCCAGCTTCACAAAGAACTCAGCAGTGCAGATGAGTTTTGTTGAGAGTTCAGCCCTCCCTGAAAACAGGGTGATTCCTTCTGGTGCTGGCAGAAATAGTTCAGGTGTATACAGTCTTTTCTCTTTGTGGAGGAGTAAGTGGCAGAATAGTTTCCTTTCCTAGCAGGTGTTTGGATGCAGTGCATTTTGAGTTAAAGCTGACTTTATTTATATATATGTGTATGTATACGTATATCAAATACATATATTTGATTTTTGATTTCCTTCACATGAGCAACTTGGATTTAAAAGCTTTAATATCTGAATAATTTAGACTTTGTTTTTCAGACTGAAGGAGGTTTGTCCACATGTTAACAGGGGTTTATACTTAGATATTGGCTTTTACATATGTGTGTGCCTCTGAATTCTCATCCTTCCCTCAAATGGGTTATTTTAAGGAATTAAAGGATTACTCTGATTGTAAGCAATAGGCTCCCATCTGAGATCCCACCCTGATATGCAGGATCCAGTGTTATGTACAAAGTGGTTTGCTTTTCTGTCTTAGTACACTCAAGGTGTTCAACTTCCAACCTAAAAGGGCTTTTGTGAGTGAAACAGGCACAACGTGATTCACTGCCCCACCACCGATCCTGTGCCTGCTGAGGCCAGGTGGATGATCTTTGTTACCTTTTTCTATATAGCTCTGTGTTGTGCAGCAGCATTCTCCCACAGAGATGTTGTGTTCCTGTCTACAGGCATCTCTAGGAGGTTGATGAAAGCTGCCCTCGGGTCACCCTAAGAAAGCATGTATTCAGATTTAGGGTTGCATTTTAGATCATTTGGGAATTCTCTTTCTGCTGACACCGGGTAATTCTGGTCTAACTTTCTCTTTTCTTAGCCACGACTTGGTTTGAGGGCTTGTCTTGTGCCTTCTGGAGTAGCATGAGGTGTTCTGGATGCTTTTGAGAGGCAGCATCAGCCAGATTGCTTACCTGTTGTGGTTACTAATGTGTTTTGGGGACATAGTTTTGTTGAAGCAGCAACTTGCGTGATTTTATATAGTTTTGATCTATTATTTTTTCATGTTTCAGGAGTTAATTTGAAGAATCTTCTCAATTTTCCCCTGATTACTTGAGTTCAACTTTTGGAAAGAAGCTTGCTTCTTCTGCTAGTGTGGTTTAATCCTTCCTATCATTTTGATAAGCCTTTTATTTCTTTTATATATATATTGACAGTCTGGAGTTGCTTTGGACTCTGGCCAGCCTTTTGTATATTACTGGCTGGCATGACTCTGGGGAATTTCAGCTGGGTTTGTTGTAGTGCAGTGTCATCAGCAGCAACACGTTGGAAGTTTAGAAATAAGGATACATGCTTTTGGAATCCCTTGACAGTGCAAAATGAAATTACAATGTGAAGGGCCTTAATTGCGTCACAGCCATAAAGAGAATTTCAGGGGAAAATGGCGGTACTCTGGGACAGTCTTGACTGTGTAGTAGTCTTAAATTTCAAACAAGATAATCTCTTTTTCTTCCCTTCACTTAGAAGGCTGCAAGTCTCTGGACCAGCTGAACCTCACAATTCCGGTGGCAGGGCACCCTGCGTCACCTGCCCACCCGCTCTCAGGATGTCCTGTACCCAGCGTGCCGCCAGCTGCAGAACCTGTTCCTCATCTGCAGACCCCCAACTCTGACCCTCAGACCATGGCCCGTGAATGTCCCCAGAGCTCAAAGCCTCCCAGTGGCTCCAAATCTGGTCTCCGAAATACGCCAGGCTGTCTGCATGCCTCTGACAGCAAAACGGTGGGAGGCCATTCCCATCCAAAGCAACAGCGCATCAGCAGGCGAAGGGCCACCAATGGCTGGATACCTGTTGGCACAGCCTGCGAAAAGGCTGTCTATGTTGTGGTAGGTGTCTGGAGTGCTGCTGTTTTTGATTTTTTGTTTTGTTGTGGTTTTTTTTTGTGTACCCATATCTATATGTCTATCTTCAGTGGTAGAAGATGACAGAAAGGGGAGGGTTTTGGCTTCTGTTTCAGGGTAGTGGTGGTTGTTAGCTGTCCAGTGTTCTAGAAGACAAGCTGTGGATCAGCAGGGCTGGGCTTTGTGGCTGACCTGTTGGCTTTGTTTTTCTCATATTACATTGCACAGCATGATGGACAGTTTGCAGAGGATGGAAAACCTGCCACTCCTCTGCTAGCATCAGTTGAAATGCTGTCATGATGAATAATTTGGCATTTACCTGCTGCACCTGTGAGTCCATCTTACAGGGAAATCATCCTCCAACTTCTTCCTCCTGGGCTATGTCAAACCTGTTTTGAGGAGGGGAAGGTTTTAGCTTTGCTGTAAGCAGCTGTCCAAAGGTAACTCTTGTAAACTTGTTCTTCTCACAGATAGTGTCCATAGTCCAGCAGAGATCTCCCAGAACACACAGAGGACTGAAACAGTTTCCTGACTCCCAGATGGATTTTTTTTCTAGCATTCAGTAGCCTCTAATTGGTAACTCATGCATTGGCATGGACAGTCACTCCTTTGAAGTCTTCTCAACTGCGCTTACTCATTTGCTGCACTGAGGTGCAGAGAGTAGCTGCTGTAAAATGGGAGACTTCCTGACAGAAAGTGTAATTACTGTAGTAATGCAGTAAAGTCTGCTTGCTTCTAGTAACTAAATTGAAAGAAAAGTTAATATCCTTCATTTTATAATGTAAGATCTGTGGGCATGAAGATCAGAACCCATTTGCTGTCTGGGAAGGTGGGACAAGGCATTGACCGTGCTAACTAAATGTCACAGCAATGGAAGTTGTGGCTCAACAGTACACACTTGATGCAGTGGCACAGCCTCAAGCTGTTGAGAGCATTATCCAGGGGAGGGTTTGTAGCTTTAGCTCTCAGAGATGTACTCTGGCACCAAGGGGTGTGTGAGGGTAAAGTCCATGGAACCTGGAGATGGGTCTCTTTCATCCACTGTTCAGACTTGTCACTGTGCTTTTTACCTACAGAACTGAAGGAGCTTGATTTAATTTGAAAGGGTTTTAGTTTCACAGGTGTGTACTTTTGTGAGACTTGTGAGACCTACTGTCTAGTTGATGACCTGTTCCTTTCTGCCAGACTAGGCAGGAAGAATAGTTGTTTTGTCTTTCGCTTTGCGAATGATAACCACAGATAGCTTACATACATTTGGATGCTATTCCATGATAAACTTTCATTACATATAAATGCCCTACCCATAGATGAAGTAATCATTCTGACCCAAAATTTGCTTTTATAAGCCAACAAAGTGGAAATAGGGATGCTGTGAGTGGCCTTACACCGTGTGATTTCTCTTGGAGCTCTCTTGAATTGGAAAGACTTGGCTCTGAGCAGGTTTAGGCAAGTTTTTAATTCACAGCAGGACCAAAGGAGTCTTGGATTGGGCTAGCAAACAGTAAACTAACTTTTTGCTTGTATGCTTGGGTTGCTCTTTCTTTTGTGTGCCAATGCTGTAGAATGAACCTGAACCAGCCGTTCGCAAGAGCTATCAGGCTGTGGAGAGAGATGGAGAGATTATCCGGGTACGAGATACTGTCCTCTTGAAATCAGGACCCAGGAAGAAATCTATGCCATATGTTGCGAAGATATCGGCACTGTGGGAAGACCCCAAAACAGGTACTGTGGCGAAAGGGTCCATTTAGCCTCTGTGTTAGGCAGATGAGAGCAAGCTGGAACCAGGGAGGTGATGTATCTTGGAGAGCTGCAAGCTTTTTGATGCACTCTGCTGCTGCCAGATTGGGTGGCAAAGGGGAAGAGGTTAGTTCCATGGCTTTAGTTCTAGTTGTTCTAGGATCTCTTTAATCACTGGTCTGGAACTGGTAATTAAAATCTTTCTAGTAATGAAAGCACATAATATCTGCCAACTGCGATCTTAGCAATGATTTTCTTTATAATTCCATGGAAGTAGGCATCTCAGGAGCTGTTGCTTATTCAGATGCTCTAGCCAACTTTTGGGCTGGGGGTTGTTATGAGGCATGGGCACATCTGCAGAAGTTCTTGGTGGGCCCTGAAAAGAGTCATTTGAGTTTTTGGTTTTGATGTTAAGGTCCTGTATCTGGTTACTGATGGTTAAGTCAAGAATGCTGTGCCAAATATTTCAAGGTACAGTTCAAGCTTAAAAGGAAGAAAAGTTGTTTTTTGTAGAAAGTGGCAGTGGTGTTAATGTGGGAATTAATACCACAAGCACCAAGCTTTGGATAAGTGTTTTTTCAGACCGTGAGCTGGAGTGGAGACTTTAAGGGAAACATTTGATTTTTGTGCATAACTCACCTCTGTGATGTAACAGAAGTAGAACGGGGTGAAGGTGCAGTGGAATAGCAGTGTGACTGACTTAATACAGCTCCTTGCTGTAAGAAAAGGATACCTAATTCAGTGTGAAATACCTATCACAACACAGCTGTCTCTACGTGAGAGCTGTGGAAATGAAAGGGATGAAGCAGGAGGAGGAAGCAGGATGTTGGTGGGAAAACACTGCAGCAAAACCAATTCTTGACATCTTGGAATAAATCTTCTTGCAGGGGAGCTGATGATGAGCCTCCTGTGGTATTACAGACCAGAGCACACTCAGGGAGGCCGCAATCCCAGTATGCATCAGGTGAGACATCCAAATGTGGAACTTGAGGCAAGGGGTCTCCTGGTACATCCCACATTTTTGCAAGAAATGGGGGAGTAGCCTGAGATCTTCCTGCATTCTTGGTTGGCCTCAAACTCAGGAGGCTTAGCTTCTCATTTGAGTGAAATTGAGCTGTCTCTTGGCTGCAGTGCAGCTGTTGCCAGATTTGTGAAGCAGTGGTGTCCAGCACACGGGCTTCCCCCAGTCTACTGCCGTGCATAACTGCATAACAGGAGTTCTGCATTTTTCATATGCCCAACTGCGTTAGGTCTTAATGCTTCTACCTTCAGTCTGAGAAAATCCTGAGCATCAAGTGAAAACTTTTAATCTGCCACCTTAAGAGTAAAGAGAATTGAGTTTACACTGAATCAAGATCAGATGCTTTTCCAAAAAGAGCATTCTAATCCATGCAGAAACACAGAGCTTGATGAAAAAACTCCCAGTGAAATTCCACAGTTTTTATTATGCAGTATGTTGGAATAGCTCTGTGATGTGCTGCCTTTTTACAATAAAAACCCCCAAATCTGCTGCTTCGGTTCTAGAAATCCGTACAGAATTGCAGATGCATCATCTGCCCCCTGTGTAGATTTATGATGAGAACTTAAGACTGATTTGAGGATGTTGTGCCAGTGTAAAGGCATTCACTTTTAAAAAGAAAAATGTGTGAGTCACTGTGACTTCACACCTCACTCAGCTTTGCTTGGACTTGCTTTGGGTGGCAGAACAGCTGTTTCCAAGCTAGAAAATGAACATTTACTGCTGTTTTCAACTCCTCAAAATCCTTGATGCTTTTTTTTTTTTTTTTTTTTTTCCCTTCTGCTTAAAAGGAAAAAAGCATGGGAGTACAGGTCTGGGGAGCAGCCAGGGAATTGTACCAGTCTGATTTGAAGAGCGCAGATTAATTCCTAAATCAAAATATGATATCTTGTATTTTTCTGGTCCATAATTAAAAGCATGACTAGTTGCATTTTAATGCAGAGAGAGCGCTAGTATTCAGCTCAGGAGGAACTGAACCACTTTTTTTGCACACTTGCTTAATTACACAAGACTTCAAATGAGAGATTGCCTTGTGGGCTGAGTAGCTGCGATAGGGTTGCCCAAGATGACTCAGATAATTTTGAAGTAAGGAGCAGAGCAAAACCTCAATGTGCAGAAGTAGGATGTGGCATTTTCAGTTTCTCTGATTAAGCTTGTTCCCAAGCAGTGGCCCTGTTTAGAGCTTAACTGTTTCCTCTGGGCTGTCAGCAGGAGTACAGCCTGCAGGTAACACTTTCAAACTTGTGCAAAGCATCCTTATTGCCTCAGATCATCTTTGCTGATCTAATTACATCTGAGATTCTTTGAAATTGTTCCATCTGCGTTGCCCCATATCTAACCAGAGCCAAGTTTCCTAAACTGCCCTGGGAGAAAAATGGCTATTACTACTCCCTTCCCTAAAACAGTCTTTTAAATTGAATTGGGATGAAAAAAATAGAGAGAAAACAACAGGTTGTTTTATCTTTGATATAAAAATAAATTAGGAAGGCCCTAATACTGCGTGACAGGCCAGTAGTTAAGATGACAAAGTGCCATTCAACCTCTGTTTCTACCCTTAGCTTTACAAATGACTGGGGAGTGTTTCCAGCACAGGAAAGGGAAAATGAATGAAGAACTTCCCTGGGAGCTCAGAGGAGTGTGTGGGTAGGGGGTGCTCCAACCTCCTGCTTGCAGAAGCATCACTCACTGGGTTTTCTGGATGTAGTGTGATGGCTCCGCCCACATGAACCCTGTACAAAGTCAAGTTTAGGATAAGTTGGAGCAAAAGCAGCGTATGTAGGAGTTGTTTTCTTTAGTTTCCTGTGCTCTCTGTAAGAGAGGAGGGTGTGAATACTTGGGCTCACAGAGAGTGTCAGGGGTGTTAAATGATGGGTTGCTGGAAAAAATTCTGGTACTCACTATAAGTGGGTCACAGGACACCTGCAAAGTGTCAGTATTATTGGAAATATTGGCTCTAAAGAATATCTGCTTTGAGCATGCTTTTGTTGCCTCCCCTTTGAGGTAATGGTGTAGAGCTGCCTTTACCTCCCTGGGGCTCCTGGCCAGCGAGGTGACCTCCTTCTTTCTTTTGCAGAATGAGATCTTTGCATCCCGACATCAGGATGAAAACAGTGTTGCCTGCATAGAGGAGAAGTGCTACGTGCTGACCTTTGCAGAGTACTGCAGGTAGGTGGTGCTCTTAACTTGCTGCTGTTCCCGAGACCTGCATCTATCTCCAGCACTTGTCATTCTTTCTTTTTCCAGCCATTACCCAGCAGAATAGTCCCTGCCCTACAGACTTCAGTCTAGGTATAATTGGATACGCTCACTCTGTATACAGGTTCAGTACTGTAACCTGGGAGTGCTTCCTCCATGCTAGACTTGTTACATATCTCATTGTTTTGTATATGATAGATGCTTTAAAGGATTTACAAATGCTTGTGAATGGATGATTTTGGTATCTTCACATGTGGGCATCAATGGAGGGCAGTACAGGAAAACCTACAGTGCTGGGGCTTAACTCAGTGGTAAATTAAAACTGAGCAAGTCTGGAAGTCACCTTGTACATTCATCCCCAGTGATACACAGATGCTATGGCTAGCTAGAATGTCTTCTGATATATCAGTATTGCTACTGGAACCTTGTATATGTGCTTGCAAATTTGAGTGATTTTTTGACAAAAGGATCAGTCAGATTATTGACTAAAGCACTTACAGATATGCTTTGGCTGATTAAATTTAAACTTGGTCAATACGAATATCAGAGTGTTCAAATTTAAGACTGCCAGCCTTGGATGTGTGAATCTCTCAGAAAATGAGAGTTGAATAGGCACACAAGTAGGTAACATAAAATAGTGCTTGAAATGTCTTCAGTTTTGCTGGGCATACCTGGTTGACTTTTGAGTCTTACTACAGAGGGAGCATTTAAGTCTCTCTGCTTGCTGTTTTGCTTCTAACCTAGGGCTCCACTATTTGAATTTCTAAAAACAAACTTTTCCAGCTCGTTTTAAAATGGATCTTGTTCTTTCTGAAAACTAAAAAGCAAACTAGACTTTGGATTCAGACAACTCATTTCCTTTCTAACAATTCCTGCCAATTTCCTGCCAATAGGCAGGAATTTTTTTTGTGCTGTTGTGGATAAGGTCACCTTTGAGAATCCTGAAGGCCTCTTGAATTTATCCTTTGCTTACACTGGAAGTCCTACAAGGAAATAAAGGTTTTTAGAGGCTGCTTTGTTATTTAGGAGTTGTAGTTGAAGCTGACTTACATCAACTCTCAGAGATGGTTTTTGTCCTTGGTCAGTCTTGCCAAAGGGTTTACTAATGTAGGATGCAAAATCAGCTGGCCACAAAATCTGTCTGTACCACAAGCTCCTGCAGAAGGGTTGTTGAAGTGTCCTGCATGAGAACAGCAAAGCACCCAGAATACAGATATCTTTTTTTTCCCACCGGTTTATTAATCTTAGAAGTGCTAGTACAGTTGATAGAATGAAGCTTTTTTCCTGTTGCTCTTAGCCCGGTGTAGAGGACAGGTTTATCCCTGACCTAGAGCTACTTGATATGCCATGCTTCAACCAGCTTTTTTTCAACTGGATAGTTGGTGTTGAAAACCTGTTTGTGAGGGAAATGCATGTATACAGTGTGGTGTGAAACTGGCATGAGTGTTTACAAAACTGATGTTCTTTTTAGCTTGACTCAGGAGCTTGTCTGTAACCTGACTTTGACTCCTGTATGTAGGCATACAGCATTTGGTCACCAGGACCTGAAGTCAATACGTACTCCAAGATCTTGCTCTAACAGCAAGGAAGGAGTGGACCTTATCGTGAGCTTTGGATGAGAAAATTGTATTTGACCCTCCAGCTTAAATGCTTTGTCCCAGTCTTGCATGAAGGTAGCTGGAAGAAAACACAGTACCTGTTGTACTCAGTTCACTTGCATCTGTCTAAATGATGGCCTGATGTGCCAGACTTTGGGGGAGGTAATTAACAAAAACAAGGCCAAAGTAATAAAGGTGAAGTGGATTGCTGGAGCATCTTTCCTACTGGATGGAGTCTGCCAGTATAGAAAGCAAGACTATTGGATTGCTTTGTATGGTTCAGTGTGGGATCAAAAGCCGTCCTGCTTTTGAGCAAAGGGTAATTCTCCTACATGTTCCCTTCCCCTGTGCCCTTTATCCTTGGGCAGCCACTCTCATGAGAAAGGCTGACACAAACAGCAGAAGTTGTGTGGTGAAAGATGATGTGAATCCATACTAACTCTTCCGATGCGATTACTTTGCAGATTCTGTGCCTTGGCAAAGCGTCGAGTCGAAGGGATCCCTGGCAGGAAAGCTGTCATGGTTCCTCCCTCGGAAGAATACTCCACACCTCTGCACCGCAAGGTGCCTGAGGACACTGACCCTGAGCTGGTTTTTCTCTGTCGTCATGTCTACGATTTCAGACACGGGCGCATCTTGAAGAATCCACAGTAGCATGGCTCTGCACTGAGACTGTGGTGAGGGTGAGCAGCGCTGGGGAGCTGATGGCAGGACGGCAGCCTGGGACATCTGTGTGCTCCCACCCATTTATCTTGTGCTGCTCGCAACCAAGAGCTCTCAGTGCTCTTTCCTTGGACTGAAAGGCGTGCATGGGAGCAGATCCCTGTGGAGGAAGGCAGTGGTTGAAAGCACAGCACTTCGTTAAAAGCATAAATGAAAATATAGACGTTAAAATAAATATATGTATATAGATATAGGTACTTGCATATGTAAATCTATATCTATATATGTATCTAGAGATGCATATATTGGGAAGGGTTTGTAGGGGATAAAAGCCAGTAAGCTGAATCAGAGCCATTGTTGGTGGGAGTGGTGGGAAGACACAGGAGGGATGTGGTGGTGTGTTATGTGAGTCAAGCTGTAATAGTCCTGTGGTTCTCGTGTCCTCGTGTGAAGTGGGAGGACTGAGACCAGTTCCTTGGCAGACCGCAGGAACCTCCTCTGTCCAAAAAGAAAGAGAGAGGATTCCTGGTGAGCGAGAGCTTCTTCGAAATACAGCTGTTGTTTTTGAGGCTACTTGAATGCAGAGTAGCCTTGAGTCACACTTGAGTAGGTTTTGCAAGGAAGAGCTATTCCCTTTTTTTCTTCCTCATCTTTCTCTTCCCCTCACCTTCTTAAGAACTGTTTTGCAACTCACTGTTTGGACTGAGGCTTGACAGCCAGGCTTGGAAATCTGCTCCAGCTCAGAGACAGGGAAGGACCTGGCGGGATTGATGGCTTTATGTCCTGGCATGACATTGTGGAGAGCTGTACCCACACCCACAGGATTGCAGCAGATGTGCATTGCCCTAAAGCTGGGAGCGCACCAAGTGGGCTCCGTTGGTGGAAACCAGGTTTTCTCTTCTGAGCACTGCTTGCTCATATAGCATAGAAAGCTTTAGGGATAGAAGTGGGTTTACTCTTTCGTCCAGTTCATTCGTCTGTAATGTCCTTTAACACCATCTTCTCATTGTGAAGAAGCTAGATGACAAACACTTAAAGTGTTGCTTTTAGCTTTTTTTTTTATAATTTAGCCCCCCTTTATGTCTCTGTTCTGACCCTGAGTTTCTCATTGAAGCCACCAGCAGAGCTGTTTCAGTGCTGCGCTGCAGCTTTCTCCCCATCTCCAAACTCATCCTGTCATCTGAGCAAGCTCACCAAAGTGGCTTTGTGGCTCCTGAAAGGAACTGAGTATTGGGGAAGGGTTTGCATTGAAAAATGTAACCTGAGCCTCATAAATATTTCTTTGCCTCTTGCCTTACGTGTATAGATCCTTAGTAGACTTTAGCTTATCTCAATGCAAACTGTTGAAGTTGATTCTAAACCAAACCAAAGGACAATGTAACAGAGTCCGTTGAGTCAGCCACACCAAGCTGGGAATCCACATTTAGATTGCACTAATGTAAAGAAAGAGAACCAGTGCTGCATTAGCCCGTGTGCCTGCTGGCTGGAGCCACTTATTGGAATTGTAGGGATTTGCATTTTTCTGCTTTCTGCGGGGCTTCTGAACTCATGTAAAACAGTGGAAGTATTGAAACTGCTTTAACATTGTCCTGTCAGTGGATGTGGGAGGGAACAGCATTGGCTTGCTCCAACAGCTGCACGCCTGGTCTGGAAAGAAAACCCCATGGCATCAAATCTGTTACATGCAAATAGCTTGTTAATGCTGTAGATCTCCAGAATTGCTGTACATACCAAAGAGGGGAAAGTGTTTAGAGGAAGAGGACATAAAAAGAGAGGATGAGAACTGGCACCCACCATAGTGGGACAGCAGGGAATGCATCTCTCTGCTGCTGGGGGAACGATTTCTGCTGAGTGTTGGAGAAGATGTTGGAAAAACCCTGTTGTCCTTGCCCAAGGGAGAATGCCCAGCTTCAGGAGGCTTGATGCTAGGTGTGTGGGCAGGAATTCATGGGCTAAGTATCTTATCTCATTTATACCTCAAGATACTGTTAGTGTCAAAGTAATTGCTCAGATTTCTCCTTAACAATTAGCTTGGGCACTGATGGTCTCTTGGAATGATTTAGTTGGGCTGCATGGTGCGATATTGCCCAGTGGGAGTCAGGAGTTCTTTTGGGTGGATGAAAGTGGCATGGGGAAGGGAGGAGCATGGAGATGTTGGAGGATGGGATCCCTGCTGAGAGGGAGGACACTGGAGAAACAGAGCCATTCCTGCCGTCATGATACAGGGTGATGGGGGAACAGAGTGGCTGTGCCCTGGGGCCATGGGCATGTGGTAACAGCATGGAAAGGTGACTGATGGTCTTAAATACACACATTTGACTTGGTAGGGATTCCTGACACCTAGCCTGAAGCAGGTGAGTTGCCTGCAGCTGCCTTCCACTAACCCAAGTGCCATCTGATGAAGGATTCATCAAGACCCACTGGCCAGGCAGCCCTGAGCATTTCTGCACAGTCGGAGAAAGATCATAGAATCACAAGGTTGGAAATGACCTATAAGATCATCCAGTCCACCTGTCTCCTCATCACCATTGCCACCACTAGTATTAAACCATATCACGCAGCACGTCATCCAGACACCTCTTGAACACTGCCAGGGACGGCGACTCCACCACCTCCCTGGGCAGGCCATTCCAGTGCCTGACCACTCTCTGAGAGAAAAAGTTCTTCCTGATGTCCAACCTAAACCTCCTCTGATACAACTTGTGGCCATTGCCCCGTGTCCTGCTCGTTGCCTGGGAGAAGAGGCCAAATCCCTCTTCACCAC